CAGAAAAAAACACCAGGGGCGGGAGCTCTGAGAAAAATCAACCCACCCCGAGCTTTTTTAAAAAAATCTGCACAAAATTCAATTTAAAACCAAACAAATAATAGGGCCCACTAGACTGGAGGGAAAACACTAAAAACCCATCTTCCCCTAACCCCCGTGATTTTGATAAAAAAATGTCACCATATCAAAAAAAAATAAACCTATCCCCAACATAATTTGAAGGGTTCCCGACATGTAAAGCGTGGAGCCCCAAACCGCTAAAGAACTATCACGAAAGGGGGCAATTCACCAAATTCCCAAATTTTAATAAAAAAAACATAAAGTGGGGCCCCGTAAACCAAGTCCTAACCCCATATAAGCTGGGAAAATTACTAAGAAAAAAACAGACCCCAAAATTTTTGCCTGAAAAAGATTAAAACCCGGGGGCAAATCGATGTATGCCAAAAAGGGGGGGTTTTTCCTCTAAGAAAAAGGAGGAGTTTGATGGGAAAATAGAAAAAAAACGGCGCTCCCTTTAAAAGGCGAAAGGGGAAAAAAAAAAAACAGAGCGGGTTTAAAAAAGGTCCCAAAAATTTTTCTGAAAAGCGTAGGGGGAAAAACTGGTCAGAGAAATAGCAAGCATCGAACCCTTTAAACTAAAAGAAACCTTTTGGGGGTCAGGAATCGCAGGAAGAACTAAAAAGCCAAAATGAAATCGGAAAAAAAAACCCAAAGTATTTTTTCTCCATGGCCCAAAACAAAAAAAAGAAAAAAGTTTCCGATTGGGCCCCCACTTAAACAAGATGGGTCCAAAACAGATGACCGCAAGGGAAAAGAAATTTAGAACCCCAAATCCCCCCCAAAATGACTCAGTTTTTAGAAGTCGCTAACCAACTGAGAGTTTTTAAAATTCAAAATGAAAATTTTTTTTGAAGAGCCCCCCAAAATTTGAATAAACAGGCCTAATCCATGGGTTTTCCTGACGCCCCCAAAGGGCCCTTTGAACAGGCCACAAAAGACATTTCCCATGCCCTTTCCCCAGGGCCAGACTCATGGACCCCTGTGTTCCTCAAGAACTGCAAAAGCCCCCAAACCCGGCCTTTTCCCTCCCCATGGAGGGGAGCAGGCCCCGGGGGGCCCTCCCCCCCGAAAATAAAAACAACAAAAAAGCCCCACTCCAAAAGGGGGGAGTTTAAAACCCAAAAGCAAAAAACAAAAAGACCAAATAGCACTAACATTCCCATATCCCAAAAAATCTTTGAAAGGGCCAAAGAAGCAAGAAAACACCACCCCTTTAAAAACCCCTCAGTTTTCACAACCCCCGGGAAAAATGGGTTTAAAACAAAGGGGCTCCTGTCGGTTTTCAAAATATTGGAACACTACACAAGGTCCTAAATTCACTAGAAAACAAAAAAAAATGCCGATGTAATATATCCCGACTTTGCAAAAGCCTTCCCCAAGTGGGGGAACCATGGCGAAAAAGCGCACCCAAAAGCGTGCAAAGGAATAACAGGAAAAAATCGGTCGATGGATCTATAAAATTTTCCCCACTAACAGAACCCCAGAGATAGGGCGCAAAAAGAGTTAAATTCCGAGGCAGTACGGTTTTAAAAGCTCGTTTTCCCCAAGGGACAGAACTCGCTCCCCCTCTTGTTCCTCAACCCCATATCCGCATAGACCAAAAGGAAAGTCAGCCACAAACCCCGTGGGCTTTCCTTTTCAGATGGGCACCCCAATCTGCCTGACAGGTCTTCCCTTGCAAGACACGCAAGGGTCCAGGGGGACATCAACCAAATTTTTTCAGTGGGCGCAGAAAACAAATATGGGGTTCAACGATAGAAAAATTTTAATTACTCCGAAAGGTAAACATGAGGGAAAATTAAAAACTTCACAAGTAAAAAAAAAATTCTGGCCACAAAATAAGCGAAACAACCCCCAAAGTCAAAGCCTGGGAGTGAACATTTTCGGGGAACTTACCTTTAAGGACCATAAAAATTTGTAAACAAAGCATCCGCTAGAAAAATGACAGGATGGGATAATTTGGAACTTCAAAACTAGGGAGGCCAAAAAACCCCGATTTACACTCTTTTAGGCCTTGTTCTATCTTGCTGGGAAAAATTAAATGCACCCCCTAACAGCAACCCTTTTTTAAAGGCAGGTGAAAATTGTTTGACCCAGAAAAAAGTACAGAGAACTTTCCCGCGCCATAACGGAGATTAAAAAACCCCCAATTACTGGGGGGCGTTTAGGGTTTCCCAAACCCGTATTTCCCCGGAACCAGGAGGGAGAAAATACATGAAATTTTATACACCGGGGAAAAACCTAGAGGGACTAGGGCCGAAATTTTCCCCACAAAACACTCACTACGAAAGCAAAAGAACTTGGCGACCCCATGCACCCCCCCCCCAATGAAAAGCAGGGGTGTCCTAGCACGTTAAGAGACCCCTTTCAATAAGTGTCAGGGCCCGAGATGTTCAACCCGACCTCCCCAGCACACATAAGGGGGGAAATTTCCAAAAAGACCCCTGGGAAATCTTAAGCTGGCACTGGACAAGCACCTAAAATCATTTTCCCGACCCCAGCCCGGGGGTGGGGGCCGTACGTAGGGTTTTCGTGCAGCCAGCAAAACCCGCCTGGGGTTTATCAGGGTCTGATCCACCAAAGGGGGCCCGGTCACAGGCCCGGGCCAGGGGGGGTTGGGCCCCCGGAACTCTCTCCAGGTAAACTCCAGGTATACCCCCAATGTTTTTGTTGTTGCCCCAAGGCCCTTTTTGGGGTTAAAGCTTTATACCTTCAATTTTTGAGCAGTTTGGCTTTGCCTTTGCTCCTTTTTTTAAGTCCCCTGGACCCGTTCCTCACCCTTTGGAAAATTTACTTTTGTGCTGCAATTAAACCCTTCCCGTTTTTTGCTTTTTAAAATTTTTTTAGCGCCTTTTGGGCTCCTGAATTTCATAATTTTTTAATATCTCAGCCCTTCATCCGGGTTTAGTTCTTGTTTTAAACCTAACCTCTTTAACGGTGCAATATTATCAAGGGGGGTAGGAAAAATTGTTTTGGGGAAATTTTTTCCCCGGCATCGGGTTTTTCGTTCCCCTGCCCAAATTTTTTTATCTCTGCCAGTCACAATTGTGTAGCCCCATTTACCGGGGTTTCTTTACTGTTTGTTTCTAGTTGACCTCATTTTTATTTTCCCTGTGTTTGGGGCCCATTCCCCACCCTAGTGATTTTTCCCCGGGGCAAATAAATGATGAAAAGGGTCCACTAAGAAACCCGGGTAATGACGCCCCCGACTGACAATGTTCTCAAGCGGTTACAAAGTATGTGGTCAATTAGGGTGGCGAGAACTGGTTTTGGGTCCGGGGTTTGGGGTATTAAAATTTGTTGGTCGAAAAAATTTAAAACCTAGAAAATTTTCTTATAAACCCTTTTTCAATAGCCCCTTATTTTGCGTTTAAAACAGATATTGAAGTCGCCCCGTATTTTTGTCTCGCAATTTTTTTTTCAAATCCCCGGGCAAAGACTCTGGAAAAGTCTTCTAAAACTGGGTTTCCCGGGGGGAGGAGTGCGCTAACTAGTTCCCCCACTAAGATGGGGTTTTTTCTTAGAAAACCGCCCCTTCAAACCATAGAATTTTCCAAATTTTTTTGTTTTTAAATAGGGGCCCTTGGGGGTTTTTAAAACTAAGTCATTTTTAATGTAAAGGGACATACTCCAAACCCCCCTTTCTGTTCCAAACCCAAGCGTTTTAAAATTTTTAACCATCTTTTTTTGACCCGTCGGTCAGTCACCGTATCATCCAACCCAAAATTCAGAGATGGGGGATAAACTGCCGCCCTAAAATTTTTAACCCAAACCCCAATCTTTCCCCAATTTTTGGAAAAAGTGATCCTTTCATTGACAAAGAATAAAGGTTTAAGGCCTGTTTTCAAAAAAACAATAACACAAATTTTCACTTTGTCCTATATGGCAAGATGAGCGTTTTCTATTTAAGCCCAAAATCGAAAAATATTCGGCACGACATATATTTATAAAAATTGCAAAATTTTTGGGTTAAATAGCAAACGCTCTTCTTGCCGGGGTTTGGGGAAGGGAAAAAAATTTTTGGGAAAGCAGTAATTTCCCAAAAAACATTTGACCCCCCAAAGGAAAAAAATATATTTTATTGGGGGTTTTTTATTAAAAAATTTTATAAACTTACAAAAAAAATATTTTAGTTGGATTTTGGGCCCAGATTAAAAATTTCCCTTTTTTTTTAATTTAAAGGGTTTGGGAATTTTTCTGAGGTTCTTTTGGTTTCAAAAAACCCCCAAAATTTTTTTATTAAAAATAAAAGAAAAAAAATAAGAAAAAAATTTTAAAAAGAGTTCCCTTTCTAAGTGGGCCCCTTTTACCTTTTTCGGCACCCCCCCTACATACTCATATAAAGCACACACAAACGTGGGTCCCAAAAAAAAGAATTTTGATTACCCCCGGTTTTATTTTGAATTTTGGGTTTTCTTTAATAAAAAATAAATAAATTTTGTTTTTTTTTGTTGATTTTTGTGAAAAATTTTCCCCAAAGGTTTCAAAATTTTTTTTCTTTTTAAAAGAATCGTTTTGAATTTTAGGAAACAGTTGCCACCCTTTTTTTATCCCAAATAAATAAAACAGGGATTGAAGTCAAATCTGCATTTTACACCTGGGGATACTCAACCCCCTAGGGGTGTATACCCTCTTAAATGTAAAAATATTTTTATTTTCACAGCCCAATTGTTTACACGAGTTAATTTAATTATTTTTAAGGTTAAAATTTTTTAACTGACAAAAATTTTAATTTTTGTACCGGAGCGGAAAATCTTCGCTAAACGGAAGAAGCGGAAAGGCCCCAAATTTAAATTTTTGATGAGACCACCCGTGCAGAAGGCGGGAGCAGCGACCACCACGATTATCACGTCTTTCAGCAGGGCCCAAACTAAACCCTCAGCAGCACTAGCCCCCAGCAAGCTTTAGCAGCAAGAAACAAACGGAAATATGAAGGAATCAACAGCAGGAGCAGATTTTTGGGGAAGGGACTTAAAGGTTTTATAGCAAGATAAAAAATAGAAAAATGTTTTTGGGTTGGGTGCCCTCCTGTAAAAAAAAAAGATAAATAAGAATATTAGCAGTAAAAATATTTTTCTTTTTTCTCTTATTTAGTGGGAACAAACACACTGAGTTGGGGATAAAGGGGATTAAAAAAAAAGTCGATTCCTCTTGTTTAATGCACCCTTGAAAGTTTGGTCTTCACAAACTATTTTTTATGGAAGCTTTTATAGAAACCCCGGGTTTTTAGACAACCTTGATTTGGGATAACAAAAGAAATATATTTTACTTAGGGCATGTTTAATTTTTTGAAACAGAAGTAAATACCTATGGCGGTAATTGAAATTCCATTGTGTTCTAGCCAGACATTCCTCAATCACGTGAAACGATGTAGATGAGCAGGAAGGTAATCCTTGTGGTATTGTAGATATTCTGAGACTGAATAGTCTAGGTGGATGTCTTGTGTGGAAGAGTGAACGGACTGTTTAATGTGTTGCTATAAAAGTTGGAATACAATACAATACAAACTTTATTTCTTTGCATTTCGGGCAGACATTGTAGAGGGATGATACTTGGTGACCTGTAAGCGGGAAGAAAAGTAGATGGCAAAAGACCCCTTCACTATCAACTTAATTAATGCCGAGAACAAACTACAGTCTGTGGGTATGAAGACAATTTGGCGAACAAGCTTTTATTAGGAAACAACTATCTCTGGCTCAAGATTGAGCTTTTATCAAATAATGACTTGATAAAATTTAACCTTAAATGAAATGTAGTCCTAGTATTACGCCTGTACATCCGACTTCAACCTTGTTAGTAAGCCATGTGGAGAGATGAATTTTTGTGTGAAATTATTTGCGTGAATGAATGGGTGTTAAAGTGCAAACAAAAGCATAACCAAGTCCTTGTTGGAAGTAGGGCATACTGTAGGTGTTATGTATACTGGGAACACTTGATGGAAGTATACTCGAAACTGCGTATTGGAGACTGGTGTGGAGTGAGGAGGGAGGTCTGAAAGCAAACACGCTCAGAAGTAATGGATGTGGCATGGCTGACAGAACCAAAAGTAAGAGTAGGACTTGTGTGGTGCATCAGTTAGACCAGCGATGCCCCAACAGGAGCAGTTCCTGAGGAACCGGGCATCAAGCATCACCATGGTGAAGACGCCGTGGCAGGCAGCTCTCGAGACTGGATGTGCAGCTGATGCCTTCCAAGAAAGGGAACAAAGGATACAGGTACACTACGCACGAATACAAATGCAGATACACTAATAAATGCACGCACACTCATGCACGCTTACATATTAGCATGCGCATACGCATCTGCCCTTTTTATACATGACACATACAGCATCTGAAACTAGACTTTCTGCAGGATCAACTTGGTGAGTACATATACACACCACAGTGCACTCACAGCACCCTGCTGTTTGTCAATGTATGCTCCAAACTTGCTGTGTGCTGCACAAACTGCTCATCCTTTGAAAAGGTTTCTCTCATGGGAAACCAGTTCAATCAATTAATTATTGATTTGCTATGTGGCAATATAGCTATAAATATTTTTGTAAATATTTTTTCCAGGTAATTTTTTTTTACCAAGCATGTTGTAATTGCTGAAAACATAACCCAAATATAATTATTAAAAAACTCATTATCATTATTTTTTATATAAATAGAGATGACATTTACATAAACTTGATAGTGATAAAACCTACTTGAAGGAAAACTATGAATATTTACAATAAAGTACTGTATATTAGCGAGTATAATCGTGTGGTGTGCTGGATATAAGCCATGACAGACGGTCTCGATCATCAGGTTTCCTAGTTAATGAGAAATTGTAACATTTTTGCTATGTTAACTACGGTAATAACTTCCTTACTACAGTATCGACCTTCCATGCCTCCTGCAGGTAATATCACTGCTCTCCCTGGTTACGGAAGCTGAATATAATTTTGATATGAAATAAATTTATTAACCAAAATAATATTCATATAGACACAAATTAATGTTGGGGTTTTTCTGTTCTTATGTCTATAGTGACATCTTTCTTCTGTGTTCTATAAGTCTTAGCATAATTTACAGTTTAATCTGGATACACTAAAGTCACTCTTTTATTGGTCAAAATGGGAATTATATCAGATAATTCCACCTAGACAAGCTACTAGAAGACTTATTTCTACGTAGATCATATACAAACATTTGACCAACAGGCACTCAGTTTCGTAACCAATAAGAATATTCCTGCCTGTGACGAAAATCACAAATGATGGAACTTCTTTATATACCATGATTTCTTAGTAAAGTTGAAATAATGTTTGAACCCCCAAGGAGCTCTGAGATCTCTACAACACACAGTAATACATCTCAGTCACATACACTGGCTGGCAAGGAGTTTTCGATATGGTCAGACATTTGAAAAGTCTAGAAATTTTTCTAAACATTTTTACCTTCTAATACTATGATTTAAGTGAAATAATATCCTTGTTTATGTACAAATGATGGAGCATTGAACCCCTACACTACGATTTCTTCAGTGTTTTATATTTATTATTACAACCAAAAGTAAGCACCAGTCCTACTTATATGCACAGGGGTCCTCATCAACAAAATGCACGTAGCTGTGTTGTCTTTGCCAAATACAACTTCGACAACAAGAACATCAATTGGGACCAGGTGAACCATGTATTAAATGAAACATGTTGGGAAGATATCTTAAATAACATGGATCCAAACATAGTGCTTTGAAAAGATCAACTTCCTGGCAGCTGAAGTATGTTCAAGGCATATTCCTTTAAGAAAGAAGAGAGGAAGTGAACTGCAGAGAGACAGACGTTCCCTCTACAGAAGACGACGAAGAATCACTGAGCTCCTCAAGAATACTAGAGTATTTGATACACGGAAGGAAGCACTGATCAGGGAAGTGGAAAGTATCGACAGGAGAGACAGGAGGAGCTAAAAGCGATTAGTGAAATTGAAAGAAATTCGAAATATTTCTTTTCATATGCCAAAAAGAAGGCAAAAAGAAGACAAGATGGGACTTACATAGATGACAAGAAAGAAATGAATGAGATACTGAAATCCCAATACGACTCTGTGTTTAGCGAGCCACTGATCAGTCTAAAGATCGACAATCCAAACGGTTTTTACATGAGTGAGCCTCAAAACTCCATCAATGTATGCCAGATTTCCGACATTACCCTAATTCTAATAGACGTTGAGAAAGCCATTGCAAACATGCCCATGCACTTACCCCCAGGCCCAGACTCGTGGAACTCTGTGTTCATTGAGAACTGCAAGAAACCCCTTTCACGTGCCCTAAGTATACTATGGAGAAGGAGCTTAGACATGGGTGAAATTCCAATCACTAAAAACAACGGATATAACCCCACTCCACAATGGTGGCAGCAAAGCATTAGCTAAGGACTATAGACCAATAGCTCTAACGCCCCACATCATAAAAATCTTTGAGTGCTACGAAGCACGATTGCAAACCACTTGGATTCCTAAAAACTGCACAGTCCAGGGCAACATGGGTTCAGACCAGTTACTCCTGCCTCTCACAACTACTGGATCACAATAATATGGTCTTGGATGCACTGGAAGAAAAACAGAATGCAGATATAATATACACAGACTTGGCAAAAGTCTTTGACAAGTGCGATCATGGTGTAATAGTGCACAAAATACGTGTTAAAGGAAGAACTGGGAAAGTGCGGAGATGGATATTCAACTTTCTAATCAATCGAACACAGTAGTAGTGGTAAACAGTGTTAAATCGGAAGCTGGCATTGTGAAAAGCTCTGTTCCACAAGGCACAGTACTCGCCACCATCCTGTTCCTCATCTTCATATCAGACGTATGTAATCCATAGCAAAGTGTCATCCTTTGGAGACGATACCAGGATCTGCATGAGACTGTCATCTATTGAGGACACGGTTAACCTCCAAGAAGATATAAGCCAAGTTTTTCAATGGGCAACGGAAAACAATATGATGTTCAGTGAAGACCAATTCCAACTACTCCGTTATGGAAAACTGGAGGAGATAATAACTAGAACTGAGTATACTACAATAGAGTGAGAAAATAATGTGAGGGACCTGGGAGTGGTAATGTCTGAGGATCTCACTCTCAAGGATCATAACAGTGTCACGATCACAACTGCAAAGAAAATGACAGGATGGATAATGAGCACATTCAGAACAAGAAATGTCAAGCCAGTGATGATCCTTTTCAAATCACTTCTCTCTACCTGACCAGCCGGGCTGTGGCTCGTACGTTGAATTGCGTGCAGCCAGCAGTAACACCTGGTTGATCAGGCTCTGATCCACCAGGAGGCCTGGTCACAGACCAGGCCGCAGGGGCGTTGACCCCCGGAACTCTCTCCAGGTAAACTCCAGGTCTAGGCTGGAATACTGCTGTACATTAACTAATCCATTCAAAGCAAGTGAAACTGCAGATCTAGAGAGTGTACAGAGAACCTTTACTGCACATATAAGTTCCATCAAACACCTCAACTACTGGGAACGCTTGGAAGCACTTGACTTGTATTCGCTGGAATGCAGGCGAATGTGTTACATCATAATCTACACTTGGAAAATCCTAGAAGGAATGGTCCCTAATCTGCACACAGAAATCACTCCCTACGAAAGTAAAAGACTGGCAGGCGGTGCAAAATACCCCCAGTGAAAAGTATGGGAGTCATTGGTACACTAAGAGAAAATACTAAGTGTCCGGGGCCTAAGACTGTTCAACAGCCTCCCACCATGCATAAGGAGAATTACCAATAGGTCCCTGGCTGCCCTCAAGAGGCAGCTGGACAGATACTTAGTCGGTGCCAAATCAGCCAGGCTGTGGGTTGTACATTGGACTGTGTGCAGCCAGCAGTAACAGCCTGGTTGATCAGGCCCTGATCCACCAGGAGGCCTGGTCGTGGACCGTGCTGCAGGGGCACTGATTCCAGGAATATCCTCCAGGTACGTAGGTACAAGGATCATACGGTGCTGCAGGGTCTGATGTGCTAAAGATGAAGTCTTCGACTTCATCTTTAGCACATTATGCAAGAGGCAGATTAATAAGGGTGCTGGGGAATGCTAAAGGAAAAATATGATCAAAGTTGGTGTAATAAAGCAGCTGTTGACAAAAAGTCAGAGGAAGTCTGTGTCAAAGGTGGGACTGTCGGCGAGGAGGTCAGATGAAGTACGTTAGGGCGAATACAGTGCCAGAAGTAAATTCTGTTTGCCCGCTGATAGACTGGACAGTCTGTTAAGATATAGTGAACTGACAAGGAAATTTGACAACCCTCGCAGAACGGCGTTGAACCTTTCTCCATGAAATACCCATGTGTAAGACACGTGTGTCCCATATGTAGACGGGAGAGTGTAGTCTCCCCAACATGAGAGCGGGACAGAATAAGGTTAGAATGCAATTTATGGACAAACTCAGACCATTGTTGTTGACATCGGTTGCGAAGGTGTCTAAGAGATTACTGCAAAATAGTCTGAGAATAGAATACCCCTGTATGAAATGAGGTCATGAACAGCTGACCGCGCACCAGAGTCCGCCTGCTCGTTGTCCGGAGCATCCTCATCTCCAGAGACCCCAGCAGAAAACGATGCATGTTTTTACTAGAAGTTTGACACAACCAAAGTTGTATACAAAGAACGATGGGATGAGGAGTCTGAAACAAACTTCCGAGTACCGTCATAGACGCTAAGACGTTGTGTAGTTTTAAAAATAGGTTGGATAAATACATGAGTGGGTGTGGGTGGGTGTGAGTTATGTTGTTTATTGACTAGCTTGTGCTACTAGGTCGGATGCACTGCTCCTCCCGTAAGTGACGTGTCTGACCTCACTAGGTCAAGGCTTAAGCCGGTGGGAGAATTGGAGCTGCCTTGCATAGGCCAGTAGGTCTGTTGCAGTGTTCCTTCTTTCTTATGTTGAGGTAAGAAGGGATGCAAAAGTATAACAGCAATGACAGTTGAATACAACTCGGCTGTGAAAATGTGGTATCTAACAAATGACCTCGTATAACTGTCCAGAAAAACTGCTGCAAACCCGATACTTTGGAAGCATCAGTGTAAACTGCAATTGCATGAGTAAAAGATGGGAAGTGGTTAAGAGAAAGGGAGTGAGAAACTATTAGTAAGTAATTGAGCTTTTGCATGCGAAAGTAGGGAAGAGCAGACACGAATCGTCTGAATTTCCCAAGAGGGTAAAAGAAAAGTGAAATTCTGATGATATTGGAGGATGGGGAGGGGGAGAGGGTAAATGAAAGGAAGGCAAGAAAGTGAAATAAACCACGGTACGGGCGGGGATTGAAGTGGCGAATTCAGTCCCCGCCTGTACTGTGGTTTGCTTGCAATAGTGTCATTACGATTTCGTGAGTCAAGAGAGTGAATATGGAGAGAAAAGGAACATAATAAAGAGGGGTGACGATCAAACGAAGAACTTTTACTGACGTCTGTTACCATCCTATATGTAGAAGGATTGTGAAGGTCACTAGAGCGGATAAAACGAAGACTGTGGTCATCACGCCTATCTTGCTGAAATGGAACACTCGCCTCTGGATATAGACTCTCAGCCGGGGAGGGACGAAGAGCACCCAGACACAAATTCAAACCTTGATGATGAATGGGATGAAGTGTAGTTTTGTATATATAGCAAATAAAATACACTGAAGGACGGTTCGGACAATTTTCTAAAGTTTATATTTCGGTCATAAAAAGCTTCATTTGAACATTTGCTCAAGATAAATGCATAGATTCTTTGAAATACAAACTCATAACCTACTATAGGCTCCCTAATGAGCTAAATAAATTTTGGAGTTAACTAGGCACTGAGGAAAACTTGGTCTGTTAACTACGTAGGTACCTGATGATGGGTAATTTTAAAAGTCTGAAGATTCACCCTGAATGATAACACTGAGAAGGAAGTACGTGGCTTTGAGGTCAACAGTGTACACTATTTTAACTGCAGAATTACCAGAGTAGATTTCGAGTCTATAATTCGGAAGAAACCTGGTTTTGGATGAAGAGAGACAGTGTGTCTAGAGCTTTTGATAAATAATATTCTGCAGCAGTCTGTGTTGCAAAACATGGTATAATGAACACTGCACACTATAATGGCACTCCAATATTTATTCATTGTTTGATTTCAAATAAACAAAATGTGGACAAAAATTTGGATTAAATATTAAAGGAGCGTAAATATTAATCGCAAATTTAAAAACTAATATAGTCGAGCCTTGACGCAAGACAACTAGATATACGACTTTAACATAGGATGTGGGTTAGCACTTTATGATTATAACAATAATAATCATAGGATGTGGATGTTGGCTTTATTAGTGGAAGTCGCACTTAATTAGGTAATAACGGATCCATTGTGTAAGTTGCATAAGTGGACTTTACTAGTTCGTTGAGCGCTTTTATTTGTCGTTGCATATCCCTTATAATCTGTGTATATATCTTTGCTCTTGTTTTTTTCACTGCCTCTCACTGCCCAGCAGTTCTCGCCTGACATTTAATGTATTTTTCCAGTTACTAACACATAGATAATTAAGTAAAATAAAATTGAAATATCCAACGACAGGGGGGAGGGTTTTTTTTGTACCTGTCCATACACACACCACACACACACACACACACACAACAGCACACACAGCACACACATGCACACACACACACACACACACACCACACTGCACAACGTACATACACTGTATTTGCATCAGGGAACAGACGTAAAACAAATTCTCCACAACAACAGCCCAAATTACACACCAAAATTATCAAATAGTAAAGACCGACAATAAAACAGTCACATTGAAGATCACTGACCACTTCCACCTGTTCCAGTGTCAACTGAAATTGTTAAATTTTTTATGACATTATTAGTTGCATCTAAACTAACTACACCCAAATTAACCTTGCAAGGTAAATGTGACTATCAATAAAAAAGCCTGAAATAACATATTCTAGCTGATTGTAAATTTCCTTGATCTCGAGTGTTGCATCATCTAGTTCTGTTAATAGCTGCTACACTCTCTAGCTTTGTAAACTTATTCTGACAGTCACTGTCTGCTTCTACTATTAGTTCTGTGATGTGTTGATCTTCACTAGTCACCGCAGAGAACTTTATCTCTTGGGGATGAAGAGAGCATTCGATCGTTGTTGACTGTTATCAAGATTTGTAACTACGGGGACGGCATCTCGGCTTCCTGAAGATAATCAGAAAATCTTCTCAGTTGCCATCTACTTCATTTTCCAGTTCTGCCGAGAATATGTATCGGGAAACCATTCCAACTAGTCTTATAACTAGTTGGAATGCTACACTCTCATGAGAGCTTTGGGTTACAACTTCAGATGCTGGACGGGTCACATGCCCTGGCTCTCCTATACCTTCCTGTAGTCTGACTCGCCACTGCTACCCTAAGTATTAGCTTACCTCCTGTACAGATAAGATAAGATTTCGTTCGGATTTTTAACCCCGGAGGGTTAGCCACCCAGGATAACCCAAGAAAGTCAGTGCGTCATCGAGGACTGTCTAACTTATTTCCATTGGGGTCCTTAATCTTGGCCCCAGGATGCGACCCACACCAGTCGACTAACACCCAGGTACCTATTGCTGCTAGGTGAACAGGACAATAGGTGTAAGGAAACGTGTCGAAATGTTTCCACCCGCCGGGAATCAAACCCGGGCCCTCCGTGTGTGAAGCGGGAGCTTTAGCCACCAGGCCACCGGGCCACCTCTACTTAACATACCAGAAGGTTAACTGAAGATAAGAGCGATCATCGTCCTTCTTCCCCCCCCCCCCCGAGGTCCGGTTCGAAGCCAAGCCGGCTATTGGATCAAGACTGTTGAAACCAGGCTGTTACTGCTGGCTGCACGCAGTCCAGCGTTTGAACCATAGTCCCCTCAAGGGAAGTTCCTTGACGCTGGTGAGGGGCTCTTCATCTAGTGAACTGGATCTGTGCTCCGGTTCCCTGAATTGAGCCTGAATACCTTCCGTCCCCCCCCCCACCCCACATGCGCTGTATAATCCTACGGGTTTAGCGCTTACCCATAATTATAATACATGTATAATCGAACCACAGTCCGGCTAACCAGAAACTGACTTAAGGAACCTACCAAGTTCCCTCTAGAAACAGGCAGGGATCTGTTGGTAATCCCCTTATATATGAAGGGAGACGGTTAAAAAGCCTTGGTCCCCTTGCACTCATTGTGTTATATCTTTGTGTACTCATTGCACTCCTGCTTTGAGTTATTTTGCACCGATCCTTTTGCAAATTTGGGACGAATCTCTCTCGAATATACCAGCTTTCTCGCCTACATTCCAAGGAGTGCAAGTAGAGGGATTTCAAACGCTTTCAGTAATTTAAATGCTTGACTGAATTTGTACTGCACGTGCAGTGAAGGTTCTCTTCATTCTCTACGTCTACAATTTCCCCATGCCTACAAGTAAGACCTAAAGGGATGATGCCTGTAGTGTGATGAGGCAGAAACAGCCTTACCCATCAGCTGGAGTTATTGTCGACAACTATGCAATCTAGAGGTGGCCCATCTAGTTGATGATGCTAGTTCCTTCCACTTGAGAGGATTACATTGTTCTACATGTTTCCAGTATTAATTCCAGAAATATTTGGTTTGTAAAATAATTTGTCAAAAGTTTTTATTTTGGACAAGTGCACGATTTATAATTATGAAACTGGTCATCTTTTAACTTTGCTAATTATATTGCAAACATATTCACATTAGTACAGCAGGACTGTGTTATATAATCAAATTCTATAAATTCCTGGAAAATATATATCTATTGCATAAGAACTAATTGTAATTTTGCTATTTCAGATCAGTAGCCCTCACATTGGAGGTCCAATAGCTGCACCAGGTGAGATGCCGCTTAAGTTACTATGCACGAATGTAGATCTGTTGTAGAAAACCTCCTTTTTCTTCATAGTTTATGTATGAATTTCGAAATTGCTTCAGGACCAATATTACAAGTATAAACTACAAGATGTTGATATAACATAAAGAATTTGATATGATAGCTATCCCTCGAGATAGGCTGATCATAAGAGGAAATACATTCCGTAGTTAATCTGTGTCTTCCATGAAGTCTGCCTAACAGCTCAGATGACCTATGAGCTGCAACAATCCTCACCATCCTTACAGTGCAGATAATGAATGTGGAAGAACAAACCTTCATCTGAAGGACAGTGTGAGAATAATTCCAGTCGAAGGTCATCTTGAACTGGGCTGCTGCACACATTATTGCAAGATAGTGATCGAATGATAACGGGAATGTCTTCCGAATATATGAATCAAATTCTCTACTAAATCTGACATCACAATTACATGCACTGCAACATATCTGACATTCCATTCAGATTACCCTCACTACTGTCAATACTGACAGTCACAGATTACCTCCTGCAACATACTGACATCACAGATTAACCTCTTGCAACATATGACATCACGATTACCTTCTGCAACATACTGACATCACAGATTACCTCTGCAAATTACTTAATCACAGATTCCCTCTACTGCAACATATGACAATCACAGATTACCCTCCTACTGCAACATGACATAACAGATACTCCTACTGCAACATACTGACATCACAGATTACCCCTACTGAACATACTGATCCATAAGATCCCGCAACATACTGACATCACAGATACCTCCTACTGCACATACTGACTCCAGATTACCCTCCTACTGCACTACTGACTCACAGATTACCCTCCACTGCAACATACTGACCTCACATTACCTCTACTGCACATACTGACCTAAGAATCCCTCTAGCAACATACTGATACAGATACCCTCCTACTGCAAATACTGACCTCAAAGATTCCTCCTACTGAACATACTGACCTCACAGATTACCCTCCTACTGCAACATACTGACATCACAGATTACCTCCTATCTGCAACAATACTGACATCACAGATTACTTCCTACGCAACATAACTGACATCACAGATTACCCTCCTACTGCAACATACTGACATCACAGATTACCCTCCTACTGCAACATACTGACATCACAGATTACCCTCCTACTGCAACATACTGACATCACAGATTACCCTCCTACTGCAACATACTGACATCACAGATTACCCTCCTACTGCAACATACTGACATCACAGATTACCCTCCTACTGCAACATACTGACATCACAGATTACCCTCCTACTGCAACATACTGACATCACAGATTACCCTCCTACTGCAACATACTGACATCACAGATTACCCTCCTACTGCAACATACTGACATCACAGATTACCCTCCTACTGCAACATACTGACACTCACAGATTACCCTCCTACTGCAACATACTGACTCACAGATTACCCTCCTACTGCAACATACTGACCTCACAGATTACCCTCCTACTGCAACATACTGACCTCACAGATTACCCTCCTACTGCAACATACTGACATCACAGATTACCCTCCTACTGCAACATACTGACATCACAGATTACCCTCCTACTGCAACATACTGACATCACAGATTACCCTCCTACTGCAACATACTGACATCACAGATTACCCTCCTACTGCAACATACTGACCTCACAGATTACCCTCCTACTGCAACATACTGACCTCACAGATTACCCTCCTACTGCAACATACTGACATCACAGATTACCCTCCTACTGCAACATACTGACTCACAGATTACCCTCCTACTGCAACATACTGACCTCACAGATTACCCTCCTACTGCAACATACTGACCTCACAGATTACCCTCCTACTGCAACATACTGACATCACAGATTACCCTCCTACTGCAACATACTGACCTCACAGATTACCCTCCTACTGCAACATACTGACATCACAGATTACCCTCCTACTGCAACATACTGACATCACAGATTACCCTCCTACTGCAACATACTGACATCACAGATTACCCTCCTACTGCAACATACTGACATCACAGATTACCCTCCTACTGCAACATACTGACATCACAGATTACCCTCCTACTGCAACATACTGACATCACAGATTACCCTCCTACTGCAACATACTGACATCACAGATTACCCTCCTACTGCAACATACTGACATCACAGATTACCCTCCTACTGCAACATACTGACATCACAGATTACCCTCCTACTGCAACATACTGACATCGCAGATTACCCTCCTACTGCAACATACTGACATCGCAGATTACCCTCCTACTGCAACATACTGACATCGCAGATTACCCTCCTACTGCAACATACTGACATCGCAGATTACCCTCCTACTGCAACATACTGACCTCACAGATTACCCTCCTACTGCAACATACTGACCTCACAGATTACCCTCCTACTGCAACATACTGACCTCACAGATTACCCTCCTACTGCAACATACTGACCTCACAGATTACCCTCCTACTGCAACATACTGACCTCACAGATTACCCTCCTACTGCAACATACTGACCTCACAGATTACCCTCCTACTGCAACATACTGACCTCACAGATTACCCTCCTACTGCAACATACTGACCTCACAGATTACCCTCCTACTGCAACATATTGACCTCACAGATTACCCTCCTACTGCAACATACTGACCTCACAGATTACCCTCCTACTGCAACATACTGACCTCACAGATTACCCTCCTACTGCAACATACTGACCTCACAGATTACCCTCCTACTGCAACATACTGACCTCACAGATTACCCTCCTGCAACATACTGACATCACAGATTACCCTCCTGCAACATACTGACATCACAGATTACCCTCCTACTGCAACATCCCTCACCTCTCCTTCAGAATGCAACACTGCTCCTTCAACCTCTAAGACTCGTCTGGCTAACCGGTTTCTCTGAATCCCTTCAGAAAGTTAACTAGCTCAAGCTTCGACACGCCGAATAAAAACTACTTGTCTCCATGTAATCCTATCTAAGAAGCTCAGTTAAGCCTGCAGGCTTGTGTGAGCTTGTTAGACAGGATTGCATGCAGACAAATGGTTTTTAAAGGACGTGCTGTTGGAGCATGAGCAAGATACCTTTTATGAAAGGATTCAAGGAAAACTGGTGAGCCGAACTTGAGTCCTGGAGGTAAGAGCGGTGCTTGCACTCGGAAGGAGTGGTGGTGGTGGTGATGCTGCAGTCAGAACGGTGATCTGATTGTGATGTCAGTATATTTCTGGAAAGACGACAACTGAGTGAATGTGTATTGTTTTGTATTAGTCACCCCTGCCTTGGTGGGAGACGGTCATTGAAGTAAATTATTATTTATATAATTATTAATTTAATGGCTTCCCCAGAAAAAAAAATGAAAAATACTGCTTGTAAATATTAATGTATGATTCAGTGTTCATGGTAGAATCTAAACTGTTTTATGAATTTTTCAATTACAAAAAAAAAAAATAAATTATGCAAGATTTTTTTATATTTTTAGATATCCAATCATAATGCTGCCACTGTGTTGAAAGACGAACTATTGCCACCAAAAAATTAGTTTGTTTTATAAACAATATATGCTTCAAATTTTATCTATTGGAAAGAAGTATCATTGTAGAGATTCAGTAAATATTATAAAGTTATATTGTGTGGAGTGTTACGGTGTGGTGCATGGCAACCTCCTAGCCTAAACTACCCAACTGTTATTTGTGCATGCTTTGATAATGTGTTTTAAGATTGTTTTTCTCGAAATGTTTATTATTATTATGTTTTGCATGTGATCTGAAAAAATACTGCTTATTTTTAGCATCATAGCATTTTTCTTACCTTAGCCTTCCACTGTCTGTCTACAGGCCCCTTCAACCTCCCAGACCTGACAAAGATCTTGACCCATCCTACTAAGTCAGATTCCTCCACACCTAAATTAGAACCAATATCTCCAAATTTTAAATCCTGGCAAGGGCCACGCCACCATCAGCCAGCATAAACAAAATTATGCCGAGTTACTCCTCCCGCTCTCTTACGCCTACACCTCTCTCCATAACTAACTCTTCCAAGCCTCTTTCAAAAGCTTTCTCACCACCTTGTTTCTCTCCAACTATTTTCTCTCATGTCATTAAAGCTGCTTCAGAATCTCCCAGCAGTGAGACTTTCGCAAGAACAGGGGTTTACTCTCCTAAGTCTACTGTGGGGCCTAACCTTCGGTGTGTTGCTTCAGTCTCTGCTACACCAGCAACTCTAGCATACCCTAAACCTTTTTCTTCTCCGGCAAGTTTTCCTAATGTCATACCTAAGTATAAACCAATAAAGCTTGATCTTATGTCCACTTCTGTTAGTAGCGTCTCTCCAAAACCCTTCAGTCCTTTTCAGCATTCTGCCCCTCCAGCTAAGAATTGTGGCAGTTATTCTAACCCTTTAGTCCTTGATTCTGCAGATCCATCTTTTTCATTTGACCTTGATGCTAAGTCATCGGTCTCTGAAGCCTCGCATGTCCCTAACCCCAAAACTTCCACTTCATCTGCCACTGGACTTGTAGCTCCTTCAGCCCTTCCTTGTCCCAGCCCCTCTGTCTCCTTTTCACAAGTGTCTTCCTCCATTGAGGCTGACGCTTATACAGAGCAGTTGAAACCTGGAACTCCTCCTTTGCATATATTCCCTGATGATATCAAAGCTGTCTCCTTGAACGACGACACGACGAAATCACATGACGAGTCGAGTAGTGAGCAGAACATTCAGAAACTCACGACTAATGAAGCCAGCCAGCAGTATGAAGTGTTTTCACGCGATGCAGCGGTCTACCAACCTTTAACAGATGGCATTGCAGCTTTGGATCTACAGGGGGTTAACCCAGAGGTCAGCAACTCCACTGTATTCGCTGCCTGCAGCAGCAACAGCAGTAGTAGTAATAACAGCAAGGCTAGAAGCAGCAAAAGCAGCACCTGTAAAAAGCAAGGTTAACAACAGCAGCAGCAACAACAAGCACGAGCAAGATTAACAGCACCGGCAGCAACTGGCCAGCACGACCCACCCTCTACCACTCACGCCATTGTCATCTTTCGTAAAAATATTGCATCCTTTAGTTCCTTATCAGAACCATCATTGGCTGTCCCTCTCCATGCTTGTAGTTTTCTTGCATGTAATGCCTCTTTTAATGCATGTTGCTTACCGAGTTTGTAGTGCAATACCTAAACTGTAATAGTGTATCTTCTCCTTCAGCCTCTGAAGAAAAATTAAGTTTCTAAATATGAAAAGCTAGAAGCCGTTCTCTTGACATTTGCTCCTGACTTGTATAAACTCGCGTAAGATCAATACTATGTCCATAGGTTTAGCTTCTTATAATTTACAGCTGCCCAGCCAACTACACAATTTTCAGAAACAAGTAACTTGGCTTATTATCACTAATACAAAAAAAAAAAAAAATATTATTGAAAAAAACACAATAGGCCAAGTTTAACATATACTGTTGTATTAAAATCACTATATCCCTTTGGAAGATTAAATTAAAAGTATTACAATAGCGGTAATTATATCTTTGCAAAATCATTTTCACGTATTAAACCAATTAGTTATTAAAAAAACATGATCCTAAATTTGTCATAAACAAGAATATTGCACTTCTGAGGAGATGAAAGTAGAAAAGGTGAACATTGATGCCAGACGTTCAGAATATTTACCTCCAAGTCAGGAGAAAAAATTGCAGCCGATATCACAGTTATTAAAATAACACCCAACGTGATATACCACAGGAGATACCAAATATAAACAGTTGAATACGAATATGGAAAATATGACGAGGAAGAGTTAAGGAACTTTTTCTGGAAATAGAAGAAAGTTTTAGACATTTATCTATTGCATTTGTTACTATCATTATATATTGTTTTTGTTGGAAACTTGTTTATTGCATTTGTTACTATCAGTATCTAATGCATTTATGTTTAGAATAGGTATGACCTACACCACCAAACTTCTGTTGTAGTCTTCACTTAAAAAAGAACTAAGTGTCTGTGCACACAAGGTAGTCAGAGTGAGCAAAGAATAAAGCTTTATCTAGCAAAATTTCTCATTCGAGGTAAACCTGAAAGATTCTCTGGTGATGACCACAGTCACCGACACCAACAATCTGTACGAAAGCTAACTTTCATCATGTCTGGTAAAATATTAGAACAGATTTTTTCGCACTTTTTTTTTTTTGCCTCTTTAAATTCCTAAAGAATATAGCACTATTCATCAGTTAATAAACTCTTGCTTAAATAAACCCAAAAATAAGGATGTAGCCAAGACACAAAATAAGAAAATTCATTCATGTTTACGATAAGACAAAGAAGCCAGAAGAGTTTGACATCTCCACATACTAACATGTCTATGGATGTTAATCGTAACTCTTTAATAAATAAATTGGACTGTATAGTAAATCAATATCAGTTGGTACGACTGGTTCAAACACCAGTCATAGCACAAAGAAATTGGAGGAAAGATAAAAGGAGAGGAGGAGCGTAGTTGATGAGATGGCTTTATTTAACCTCCAAAAATGCATGATCACAGATTTCCGAGCCCACTAACTCGTTACCTTCACTTTTCCTGCCATCAAAAGGCACCAACCCTCCCACTCCCTCCGCAGGCACCGGAGCTATCTACACCGCCGAGGTGAAGGTTGTACAGCGAGCTTCTCTCCCGCCCACACCCGTCGTGGACAGTAAGTAATCTCTCGTATTTATCAGACTAGACCAAAGGTTGTATTCTCAGGTTATTATTGACATATTTTAAAAAGACAGACAGGCCAACTCTACCTAACATAGGACACAGGTGTATGTTTTCACCTATACTGTGTGGCTCTGAGGCTCCTGGCCTCTTGGCTGTGCTGTAACTTGCCACTTGTTGGGTTTGCTCCATCCTACCCTCGTGGACTCTCACGCACGCGCGCACACATTATTATTATTATAATCAAGGGGGAAGCGCTAAACCCGGAGGATTATACAGCGCCTGAGGGGGGGGGATGTGGAAGGCATTCAGGCTTAATTCGGGGAACTGGAGCACAGATCCAATTCCCTAAATCAAGAGCCCCTCACCAACATCAAGGAACTTTCCTTGAGGGGACGCGCGCACACAGCGAAGAGGCAGGGGCCAGGAGCTATGACTCGATTCCTGCAACCACAGACAGGTAAGTACAAATAGGTAACGTAACTAACACTGGACAAGCACCTAAAGTCGGTTCCTGACCAGCCGGGCTGTGGCTCGTACGTTTGTTTGCGTGCAGCCAGCAGCAACAGCCTGGTTGATCAGGCTCTGATCCACCAGGAGGCCTGGTCACAGACCGGGCCGCGGGGGTGTTGACCCCCGGAACTCTCTCCAGGTAAACTCCAGGTAAACAGAAAATAGGCTGTCTAGCAACAAGTGCCTCTGACAACTGGTAACTAAAATCTATTTTTAAAATTGTATGCACACATATTTGTGGTTGCAGGGGCGGTTTCAACTTGCCATGCTCTATAATTTGCCACTTCCTGAGTTTACTACCTCAGATTCGTGGGTCCTGTCATACCTATCCTTAAAACTGTACATAGCGCCTGCCTTCACTACTTCGTCCAAATTATTCCACTTCCTGTCCACCTTTAGGCTGAAGATATACTTTCTGACATTCCTGTAACTATTATTGTAATCATAACAGAGCTCTAAACCCACAAGGGTCATACAGCGCTGCAGGGTGTCTAGCAACAAGTGCCTCTGACAACTAGTAACTAAAATCTATTTTTAAAATTGTATGCACACATATTTGTGGTTGCAGGGGCGGTTTCAACTTGCCATGCTCTATAATTTGCCACTTCCTGAGTTTACTACCTCAGATTCGTGAGTTAGTAAGGGCAGTGAGTGCTAAAGTATAATCAAAGGTTGTGTAATAAATCTGTTGCTGTCAAAAAGTCAGAGGGAGTCTGTCAAAGGTGGAACGGTCAGTAAGGAGGGAAGATAAAGTAAGGGTGTTATAGCGGTGACGACGTCGAAGGTAAATTATGCGTGTTCGCTGGTAAATAGGATAGTCCGATAGAATATGGCAAACTGAAATTGGAACCTGGAACTGGGCGTCTCTCCATGGGATACCCATGAGCGAGACGTGTGTGTGCCCAATGCGAAGACAGGAGACGGGGAAAGCGTAGTCTCCCAACCACGACACCGATGATAAGTCCAGGATCCTCAACACAGATTGATATAATGCGGCATAACCAAAGTTGCATATGAAGAACTAGGTGATAAGACGAATTAAATTTTTTTTGATAGCCTGCAAAGCACTAAAAGAGTCTCAAACTACAATGAATCTTGAGGTAGACCTGGACGCAATACGTTTAATTGCTATGAGAACTGCACACAGTTCAGCTGTGAAAGGGCTAGCCGAGTCTAATAAATGACCTCGCACGACACTGTCCGGGAACACTGCTACAAACTCAACACCATTAGAGGATTTAGAACCATCACTGTAAATTGCAACGGCATAATGAGACCGGAAGTGAAGAAAAAGGGAGTGAGAAGCAACTGTAGGTACTTGAGCTTTCATGCACAGCAGTGGGGAAGAACACTCAAACTGTCGGATCCTAGAAAAAGGGAAGAGAAAAGTTAGATGTTAGATGAACATATAAGGGGGCAGTTGGAGACACCAAAAGCGAAAAAGATGGAGAGAAAAGGACGGAGTTAACGGGAGGTGAACAAATAATGGACTTCTTCTAACAGCTGCTGGTTTAGCGCTTTCTTTGATTATAATAATACAAACGTCTGTTACCATCCTGTATGTAGAAAGACCGTGACAGTCATCAGAGTGGACAAAATATTGGAGGCAGTGGGAAGTCGCGGACCTACATTTTTGGGACTCTGAAAGTTTTAACTATTATGGGGGCCCCTTCGCAAAAAGCAATGGCTAGCCTACATGATATTTTAGTAACCTTTTAATTTTTATTTTAACTATTTTGTAGTGAATTACACTATTAATATTACTTTTTAAAAACAGTAGACCCAGAATTTTTAAGCAATGTGGACTAAAGTTGCTTCTGGTGCCCCTCCGGGATGAGGGGCTCTGAAGGTTAAGCTTTGTAAATTTCATAGTAGATCCATCCCTGGCAGTGGGCATCATGCCGATTGTTCAAGGATGGAACATTCGCCTCTGCATATAGGCTCTCGACATGGAACAAAAAACACCCTGACATAAACATAATCCCTGATGATGAATGGGATCAAGTTGAGGAAGAGTTACGGGAGAGTCCACAGAATATACTTAGCCACCATAATCTAGTTTCGGTAAGATTAGGGATGAATGAAGTCGGAGTGTTCTACGATACACCCTCCAAGAAAGATGAGCGAGGATTTTAAGGAGGTTCTGCGGCTATGGCAAGTTGCTTTCAGGAAGGTAATGCAAGTCACAGTGTGACACCCCCCCCCCAGAGGAAATGATGAGCATTCATTCAATAAGAGGTGGAGGTAGGGAAGAAACTAGAAATTCAACATCGGGAGAGAGACAAAGAGCAGATTGTATACCACTTGTTGAAATAGATATGGGGTGTATTGTACTGCAGCGAAATGTGAACAAAGATTGACAGTGGTATACCGGTGCGTACAAGAAGTACACTTTCATTATAAGTCCCATCGGAAAAGGATCCGATGAATACAGTAAGATATAGCCCGAGACAGGGCGGATAACAGCAGAGCCCATAATGCTCTGCATACAAGGGGCATGTACACCCAACTACTTTAATTCCTTGTACAACTATGTATCATGTATTCTTTTTTGATTATAATAATAATATGTATCATGTACTGAGTGCAGTTTAAGTTCTTGTAAACAGATGCAAACGGGGGAAGACTGGGAGAGCAATGCCTGAAGCTCACCTCGACTACTCCTGAGGCTTTGAATATTCCACTGTAAGTCACGATTTGCGAATAGAAGTATACTGGCAACTTGAAACAGTAGGTGTCTGCGAACTGGTAGGATTAGTAAAGTCTTCATGTGGAGGTAGCGGAAAATTAAGGAGCGAAGGACTAGAATGCTGTGAAGAAAGGAGTGGTTAGAAGGTTGAGTATGGTATGAAGGAATAGTGGTAGGTGGATCGGTGTCCATCATTGGTTTTGTCTCTTCGATATATTTGGAGATGGTTTCAAGCATTTCAAAAGACTCAGAAGCTGCAGGCAGTGCGATATCCGAGGTAGAAGATGGAGGATAAGTAAAGACTGGAGAGACAATGGAAGTTATCACAGAAGAGGGGAGGGTTATGACAGGTTTGAGGGAGCTTTGGAAAAAACTTGGGAGAGGACAGGAGGGAAAGGAACTGTACGAGGGGAGGATGAACCTCTGCATCAGTAATAGATACAGTAAGAGGTGAAGGACTAGGTGCAGAAATAGGAAAAGGAAAATGTTTGAGAATGATATGTGATTGAGGGGTTATTGGAGATTTGAACTTTGATGTTTTAAACTTTGGAGAAGTAGGAATGCGAGGTGGTAGTGTAGTTGTGGATGGTTGTATAGACAGAGAAAAATGCGAGCGAGAAGATGAAGACGTAAGGACAGTAGGAGTCGACGAGGTAGGTAACTCGGAGTCCAGGGCTGCAAAAGAGTTAGACACAGTGGAAGTTGTGACTACAGGTACCACCGAGGCTGGAGGCTTGTCTAGTAACTCTAGAATTAGAAAGCCATGGAAGTCAAGGTCCCTTGGAGGCAGAGATGGGAGATTGCCATGGTGTAAGAGAAACCTTTCTCTTTGAGACAGTGGATTTCTCGTCCCTTTAAGAAAACCTGGCAAGCTCGAGAATAAGCCGGGTGAGCCTCATTGCAATTAAGGCAAGAGGGAGGTTGGCTGCAAGATACCTTGGTATGGTCAGCAGCACCGGAGATTCTGCCGTAGGGCTGCAATATTTCGCCGGGTGGCTCAAGTGCCAGAAATTTCTACATAATTGCAGTTAGGGATCAATTCCCGTACTTGTAAATGGTGTCCCGCAAATTAAACAGAGGATGGAAGTTCACAGCAGTCAAAAGTTAACCAAGCTATACTGCAGGGAAAGCATCTCTGTCCAAGGGCTGGTAGTATATAAATGTCCGCTTTAAGAACTGGGAGGTCTTGGTGCTCCAGAATGTCCGTATCATACTTCAAGAAATCACGTTGACCTATGGTATGTGGAAGAGCAACAGTTCCACTGCAAGAATGAAGAGGAATGTGTTTATGAATCCTGACAAGAATATTGTCAATGGAGGTAAGAATGGAAAGATCATGAGCCTGTCTAGCATTATGCACTATGACGATGCGAATATCACTCTTAAAAACATGGACTGAGATATTTTGCCCAACATAGCGTAGTAGCGCCTTGCTGATACAATAATCTGAAAGATAGTTGAAGAAGTCGGTTGGACAGCAAAGAACTTAGTCCATTGTGTACCTTGAAATGTAGAGTGCATGGGAAGTGTTGTTCTGGTCGTTTCTGAGTAAAGCAAGAGATAACCAGGACAGTGTCATCATTAATAGTTGTGGTCATTGCACTGTAGAGGTAGAAGCCGGAAGCATGGTCAATGAAGCGCAGAGGTCGAACCTTAGTGCCAGAGGTGAGCAACGAAATATCACCAGAAGTTACTCGGTTCGAGAGGTCTGAAGAATGGTCTAAAGTCGAAGCAGGGTCTTGAGGGGGTGCTGCAGGAGAAAGGGGTCCAGGAAGAGGAATTTCATGGACATCAGTCTCCGTGGTAAGGTTTATTTTTACTTTTCAAAGAAAAAACAAAGGTACATGGAAGGGTACTTCCTAGGAGGAATGAAAGGGATTGAATATCCTCCTCCAGACCCAAGAGAGCCTCATTTCGTCCGGTAGTGCAGCTATGGCATGGAACCTGTCCCCTACCCTCCCTTCACGCAGGTAAACGGACATTCCAGGATAGCAACCTCGCATCTACCGAGCCACCTCGGCAGACAAAAGAGAGGGCGATCGGAAGCCTGCCTCAAGGCATGCCTCCTTCAGCCACCACCTCCCACAACCGACAGGCAGCCTCCAGAGATACATTCGTTACCCGAAGGACATGTAAGCTGCCCTCTGGAACTCCGGAGGGTGGATCGGATGATTCAGATTCCACGGCAAACACCACCACCACCAAGGGCTTCAACAGAATAGGCAGGACAGCAACAACCTTTTCCCAACCCAGGAGCTAGAATTTCGGAGGGGAGGACCCGAGAGGCCAAAAGCAGGAAAGGAAGGAGAGGGGAGGGATGACAAAAGGATGTAGGATGTGAAAAGATGGGGAGGATGGGAAGAATGGGGCAAGGAAGGGAGGAGTGGGTGGTAGTTAGGCTCGGTTGGAGGAAGATCGGAAGGTCCAGTTCTTCAGACCAAAAGCCTCTTCCCCATGACAAGAAAAGCGCTTGAAAAAGATTCCTATGACTAGTATATGTCTTTAACTTCCAGCTGTGTTCACGTGTACCTGTTTCCTGCCTCTCGACCAATAAGTATTCCTGTCCATCTCATCAAGCCCTGAATATTTTACTTTCGTCTGTCCTGTGGGTCTGGTCTGATTGCATACTCTGCACTTTCTCATGCTATTAACATGCCTTATCAGGTGAGGGTTCTATTCAGGTGCTTCATATGGGCTCTGTATGTTGTACAAAAGGCCTTGAATAAAGACGGCGAGATTCCTAAAGGCTAATCCTAGATTTGCCAAAACATTATTATAATCATAAACAAACGCTGAATCTGTAAGGGGTCTTTGCCAAACCAGCATTCATTGCAAAGGTTATTCGGATGTGTGCCTCTGGCGATATACTCGGTACTGTTTTAACCTCTAGGTCTATTTTCCTTTAGTGAGGTGTGCAGCCTCTGTCCCCTGAGTCTATCAATCAATACCATGGGCGGGGCATGAACCCGCGGTCATTGAGTCGTGGTATGCAATCGTGTCACTACAAACCATACCCCCGGCCGGGATTGAACCCGCGGTCATAGTCTCAAAACTCCAGCCCGTCGCGTTAGCCACTAGACCAGCTAGCCACAATAAGATTCATCCAACTAGGTATATTTCTACACCATGTTGACGGCAGTGAAGGGACTTGAGCTAGAGTTCGTCACGGCCACGCTAGCTGGAGATTCGTCTGTAAAAACTTGCATTTGTGGTCACAGAGTTGCCTGTGCTAACTTTCCTATGGTGTAGAAATATACCTAGTTGGATGAATCTTATTGTGGCTAGCTGGTCTAGTGGCTAACGCGACGGGCTGGAGTTTTGAGACTATGACCGCGGGTTCAATCCCGGCCGGGGGTATGGTTTATTTGCAATCGTGTCATTACGATTTCTTAAGTCGTGTCACTACAATTTCGTGAGCCCTGAGTCTATACTCTATTTCTAGTCTTCTTATCTCTTCCACAATTTTCATAATATTGCATTTACTAGGACTGAATTCAAGTAACCACTTATCTAAGCAATCCTGAGGTTTGACCAGGTTCATATGTGGCATTTTTAAATAGCGATACATCTGACTGTCTCTTCTGGTATATCATTCGTACACAACAGATACAGTACTGGTCCTAATACCGATCCTTGGGGAACCCCATTTGTGTAACTTGTTACATACACATTATATCTCGTCTCTGGTAATCACTCCTCCTCATAACTTCTCAAGATCTACTGGAGTGCATTTCTCTGTTGTTCCTGGAAGGTAATTAGATTCACTTCAAGAAGCTTGTGCTAAATCTTTGGATAAAGAGCAACTCAGCCTGAAGATCACTTGCTGAAACAATACTTTAAGGAATGAATATCTTAATTCAATTTCTATATTTCTTTATTAAGCTTCCAGCTCTTCTAAGTTTATTACGTATTAGCTAACGTATTTTTTTGTATGTCCATTGGAGGTGTCTTGATGCCAATGTAAAGCTCTTGTTGGATCAGATCTATAATTACTGGTTTCCCAGGTATTGTATGACCCTTAAGGGTTTACAGTTTCCTCTCAAAATATGGTAATGTATAACGCATTTTTATGGTTAGAGAATAATATCCTGAAATTTTTTCACATGATTTTTATATATATATTCCTTACATGAATACTTTGTGGATGAATTTTATTTTTTTTCTCCAAGTTAAACGTCAACTGCCTTTTGTCTGCCTGTCTCTCGCAAGTTTTTTTCAGCTTAACTTTATAAAAGTATTTGTTTATTTTTGTAGGAATTGATTAATATCAGTTATATTTAAATGTGTAAAAAGAAAACATGCTCTGAAATGTTATTATACTTCAGCTCATTTCAGTGCCAGACTCTGTGTATGATTAAGACATACACAGGGTTCATTTTCAATGGGATTCTTTAATCCTCTTCCCCAGAATGCGACTCACATCAGTCTGTGGCACATAGGTACCTACTTAGTGCTGTAAGTACCTGCTTACTGCTAGGGCTAACAGGGGCAGGTGTAAGGAAACATGTCCAAACTTTCCACTTGTCCTGGAATCGAACCCAGATCCCTCAGTGTGAACTGAGGCCGCAACTGAGTCACTAAATGAGCCATATACAGTCGAAGGCACTTGTATTCAATTGCCACTCAGGGCGAGATAAATGGGCATGTCTCCTTACATCTGATTTTTGCCTGTTCACTTAACAGTTAATAGTGCTAGTAGACTTTTGTGGTTCGCATCTTGAGCTGGGGAGTAAACCGTAGATAAGAATGGGCTTTGAAATTAGCTGAGGTACAACAGACTTCATAAGCATTCAATATTGCAAAATTAAAAAAAATATTGTGTCAAATTTGTAATTTCTTATTCTCACGTCCGCAGTGCCTCACCACTCACTCTTGGAGCTCTCGTCTGAGGATAAGTCAGATAAACGTCGATCCCTCAGCTTCAACCTCGCCGCCAAGGGTTGGGGCACTTACAACAAATTCTACACACCAATAACCTTTGCTACGTAGAAGTGTTAGGCTTGTAGTTATACGCTAACAGCTGCCAAAGTCTACAAGTGTCCGGGTTTGATATGGGCGATTTAATGCCAGCCAGTTGCTGGGTTAAATACTGAAATATTAATTGTACAGTGTATCATTCATTTATTCTAAAATCATATAAATGATGTTATTCATTTGTTTATTAGCCTAACGAATCACCTCAACCGCTGTGAATTTTCCATCTGATTTTGTATGGTTAAACCTTGGAAGATAAATGATATTGTTATTTTTGGGTTAGTTATGTCCCTGTTAATTTTCCTCTTGTTGTATAGTTCACTCATAATTGTGCTAAGATTGGAAGGGATTCAGAAATATTCTCAAGTAGGGAATAGGATCTTAGAATTTACCTCACATACACATGTCCATTGTCTAGTTCAGGCTATTGTAGTGTTCTACGATGACGAACGAGTGCCCTTTTGTGATAAGTACATAATATTAAGTACCTCTTACGATATGAATGGTAGAGAACAGTTTTCATGACAGTTTCTCGAAGGATGATACCCAATAATGGTTGAGCAACGAACCTCTTTTCTTCACCTGTTACACTCTGAAACCTCACTTGAATGTTTGTACATACCGAATCTTATATTTGTAATCTCGATATAAAAAGATATTTTTAAGGTAATTATCTCACGTGAGGTTGGGGAGTGTATGAAAAAAAAGGGTATTCAGGAATGTTTGAACCTTTGTTGTGCATTTAAGTGCTGGCAGGTTCGAATAGGCCTGCAGCCCTGCGCGTTTCAACCATGTAAGATCCTCTTAATATATTTCGTATGTTGAGTTTAAAAGTTCTGTCTTTATAAACTGGAAGACCATTTGCTTTAGTCACCTTCATTTTACAGTACGAGATAATTACGTATATTTAACCTCCATATACGAGATTTATGCTTGTCCCCCGCGCAGAGCTGCAAGACACTGGTGTGGGTGAATATAATTGTTGATTGTCAGATGCAACTTTCCCACCTACAGCCTTACCTCCGTCACCCACACCTGTCCTTACCTCCGTCACTCACACCTGTCCTTACCTCCGTCACTCACACCTGTCCTTACCTCCGTCACCCACACCTGTCCTTACCTCCGTCACTCACACCTGCCCTTACCTCCGTCACTCACACCTGTCCTTACCTCCGTCACCCACACCACATCCACGGTCCTGCTCACGCTATGTATTTTGTGGAAATCAACCATGTACTTTTGTGTCATTTAAATATCCCTTAACTGCCGTCGGTCAAGCTGGTATATTATCTCAAATGTTCACTACGCCAAGTATTAGCACTGTTCCACACCGGCCAAGTATCAAGCACTGTTTCACCGGTCCAGTACATAAGCACTGTTCACCACGGGCCAAGTCACAAGCACTGTTACACGGCCAGTAAGCACAAGCCTTAAACCATGCTTTCATGTTACAGTTAAAACTATGAAACGAACATATAAACTTACTTACACAACAAGATAATCCTGAAATCCGTACCACTGATAGTCCATTATATAAGTGATTTTCCTCAAGGGAGCGTCCTTGATCCTGGTGAGGCCCCTTGATTTAGGGAATTATATCTTGCTCTGGTTCCCTGATGAGCCTGAATACCTTCCATCCCCCTTCCACGTGCATGTACTTATCCTATTAGTTCGACCCCCCGTGTCTATAATATGTAACCCGATGTCGTTACTCCTTATCACCTGAATTATAGAACTCTCCAATCCCTGGTGCTTATGTGACCCCTACAGGTTTAGTGCTTTCCCCTGATCATAATCATAAACCTTGATAGTAATCTGGTAACTTTCGTGGTGCTTGTAGCTCAACTGGTAATGGCTTCAGATCATACACTGTGGGATAGGGAGTTTGATCCCTAGACGGGTGGAAACTGGCATGTTTCCTTACAATTACTCCTGTTCACCCACTAGTTATAATAATGAAATAAAGAGTTACTTTTTACATACATACACCTTAAACCATTTAGCTACAGATGCCTTCAACGCTAGGTAGCCTGGTTACAATGTTTCTTCCTAGCGCCGAGCACACTACTGAGCCTCAGGTCTTCAACTGTTTCATTCTCCTGTATGTTTCCTGACAACGTATCACCATTTTATGGCGAAACTTTGCCTAGTAATAAAACTCACTCTGTTGCTTGTATTTTATAATCCTAGTTTGTACGCTCAATCTAGGTAAATGTAGAAGTTGAGGACATATTTTTTTAACGTAAATTCTCCATTAGGTAAGATGTGCAATGGAAGCAGTTATATTTTTGGGCCTATGTGAGAAAAAAATTTGGTAACCATATATAAAGTAACCCATTAATTTAACATGAGAAGGGTTCAGTTAGAGTTCAGATTTTTTGTTTTTATGGTGCCAAAATTGAGCGCTTTCCCCTTTTGCCCAAAATATAACTATCCATTGTACAATCCACGTAATGTTGGAGAAGGCGCTGGACAAACATCTAAAATCAGTACATGACCAACGGGGCTGTGGTTCACATGTCGGCTTTCGTGTGGCCAGCAGTAACAGCCTGGTTAATCAGGCTCTGATCCACCGCGAGGCCTGGTCATAGACCGGGTCGCGAGGGCGTTGATCCCAGGTAATAATCTCTCGCTAACTTCAAACAGAAGCCCTCGATTTAATATTAGCCATAACCAAACATCAACCGTAATTAAGGAGACTTATTCAAGCAATTCTCATTTTTGAATGAGAATTGTGCAACACTTGGGTATCTTTATTGTGAAAAAAAAATTCGCCAGCCAATGGCTTCATTTTTTTTTTATTCCCCGGTACTTTTGTATAGCCCTTGTGTTTTACTGTTTCTTTTTGATTATAATAATAATCGCCGGTACTAACCCGGCCCAGGTCTTTTCCAAATAGTGGTGACCCATGTGGAAATTTGTCTGGACTGCTTCCATGTGAGTTGTCTACCCTAGCAAGCTCTGCTGAAAGTGAGCTCTGAGGTTGGTTCCTCAGCCTCACAGGTGGCTTATATGATACATTTCCATAAATAACTGATGTTGCAAGAAACTCTTGCCTTCATGCACGAATAGTGGACTAAAAGTACTTGGTGTTGGAGAATATATCACTCGGTCTTCAACCTCCCTAAGCCTTAGACCCTCTACACTTTCCCCTTCAAGTCACCACGTGCAGTCGGGAACCTAATTCCTGCAATATTCAGTCGGTATTAGAGACCTGCCTGCACCTCAGAAGTTCCTGATTCCAAGGGGTTGTGTATCCCCTAGTATAACTATGCAGGAAGTGACACTAGCTTTTAAGCTTTAACAAGGAGGGGACACCGGTACGTACTGGTCTTTGGGCGTCCGATTGCACAAAGACCCACAGTTCAACTCACTCGCAATTTCCCCCAGAAACTGGCTAGAATACTGAGAAAGAAAGAGAGGTCTTGTCTTACTGTAATGGGCCTGATGGAGGAGGGCACCTACAGTGCTTCGAGGTGCCTCCACCAGATTTCCCCAGGTCTAGTATGTGTAGACACATGGGGGCGCCGCCCTGCTGTTCACGGCACTTGTTGGTAGGATAGTGTCCTGTCTTAGAAGAAAGCACTAGCATCTCAAAGACCAGCACCTCGTCGTTCAAGCTTGGGTTTCCAGTTCTCCCTAACTAATATAACCTAGTGTTTGCCTATATTAAAGGCCTTTTCCTACCTACGTTAAGGTCTTAGGTCTACATTATTAATATCTACAGTTGCCTCAATAGTCCTAATATTAGTTACTAACAGTATAAACCTACCTACATCTTCCTTGAAGGGTAACTCTATCAATTAAGACTTACAGTCCAACTACCTCTGCAAACCTGTGTGTGTATTGTTTTGGGGTGGATGTGAGGGCCCGCAAAACTCAGACAGTCTATCCGTGAAATGTTAGGGCCTTCATACGGCTTATTTACCCTGTGGAACTTCGGACCGAATAAGTTCCAACAACCCGGCTTCATGTGTTCAGCTCATCACCAGGATGAGGGACTGATTACCTCAAACTCAATATTGAACTGATGAGGTCACTGGCTGACGAGACATTTCAACAATATACTAAAATGTTGGTAATTTGCAGCTATTTTTCAAAGGATTTTTATAATCCTTAAATTTTGGGTGCGGGGACTATTAGCAATGAAAAAATAAAATTTTCTAGAGGGGGGAAAAAGAATTCTCAAGGTCCCCAATGCAAATAAATCTCTGACTTTTTGGGTTATCTTGGGTAATCTACACATATACTGCTGTGGAAACTAATTCGGGCCTAAAGTTCCACAAGGCAAATACTTCGTACGAAGGCCTTAATATTCCACAGAAAGGTCGTCTGAGTTTTGCGGACCCTCACATCCACCCAAAAACGCATACATACACCCAGGTTGGCGAAGATGGTTGGAAGGTATATATTAATTAATAGATTTACCCTTCAAGGAAGAGGTAGGTAGTAAACTAATATTAGGATTATTGAGGCAATTGTAGATAATAATAATGTAGACCTAAGACCTTAACGTAGGTAGTAATAGGCCAGTAATATAGGCAAACACTAGGTTATGTTAGCTAGGGAGAACGACGAGGCGTGGGTCGAAAAGATGCCAGAGTTTCCTTCTATAACGAGACGGCAAACTTGACACACCTCTATAAACAGCAGGGCGGCGCCCCCACGTGTCTTCACATACTAGACCTGGGGAAATCTGGTGGAGGGACCTCGAAGTACCATAGATCCCCTCCTCCGTCAGGCCCATACAATAAGACAAGACCACCCTTTCTTTCTCAGTATTCTGGCCAGTTTCTGGGGGAAATTGCGAGTGAGTTGAACTGTGGGTCTTTGTGCAGTCAGACTCCCGAAGACCAGCACATACTGGCATCCCCTCTAGTTGCGCTTAGAAGCTAGTGTCACTTCCTGCATAGTTATACTAGGGGATACACACCCCCTTGGAATCAGGAATTTCTGAGGTGCAGGTAGGTCACTAATACCGACTGAATATTGCAGGAGTTAAGGTTTCCGGCTGCACGTGGGTTTGAGGGGGAATTCCAGAGGGGCTAAAGCTTAGGGAAGTTGAAGACCGGGATATATTCTTCAACACCAAGTAAGTTAGTCTTTTATTCGTGCATGCAGGCGAGATTCCTTGCAACATCAGTCATTTATGGAAATGTGTCATATAAGCCACTTGTGAGGCTGAGGAACCAGCCTCAGGGCTCGGTGTCAACAGAGCTTGCTAGGGTAAACAACTCACGGAGGCAGTCCAGACAAATTTCCACAGTGGTTCTTCGTAACCGTGATGTGGAACAGCTAGGTTAAGTTAACACGGCTAGGTCATAGTTAGGAACCAGAGATTAACAAAATTAGGTTAAGTTAGCACACCTAGGCCCCAGAGACTTTCACAGAGGCTAGGCCAAGCTGACTATACACAAAAGTTATTATTTACAGTAATTTACAGGCAGGCCAGGTAGGCTAGAGAAGCTTGTGAATTTAATTATTTACAGTGATTACAAGTAAACCAGGGTAGGAGACTTGTGTGTTAATTACTTACCGTGGATTTGCAAGGTAGCCACAGTTAGGCTAGGCTTGTGCAATATTTACAACAGTTATAGTAGCTAGGACAGATTTAACCTAGTTATTATTTACAGTGAATTCTAAGGCCAGGTTTAGGCTATAGCTGCACAATAGTTAGGTTAGGATTTACCTTATCCAACCAACCACACTAGACTGAGTAAGCTGGGCACAGATAGGCCAAGCTGTTTACACACATTATTTATTTATTGTTTCATAAGTTGAACTGTTGAATTTGTTTGTGCTAATCAAGTGAATTTTAATTTGTAAAGACTACAATTTTATTGTGTGATTTTCATTGTCTATGGCTCATTTTAATGTGGGATTTGTGAGTTACACCAGAGACTAGCTTAAGATGTAGTGGAAGTTTTAGCAGTAAAGGTCAAGAACCAAAACCTAGTCATTGTGGTAGTCTACAAGCCTCCGGATGCAACATCCCAGCAATTCCAGGAACAGCTGTTAAAAATTGACCACTGTCTGGAAAATCTTCCAGCTCCTGCACCCAACATCTTGCTCCTGGGGGATTTCAACTTAAGGCACCTAAAATGGAGGAATATAGCAAATAATATTGTTGCAGTAATAACACCAGGAGGCAGCTCTGATGAAAACTCACACTCACACGAGCTTTTAAATCTCTGCACAAATTCAATTTAAACCAGCAATAATAGAGCCTACTAGACTGGAG